AAACAGTTCATCTTGGCAATTGGCCCTGACACTCCTGCTGAGCAGAGTCCAGGGTTTTTTGTTGTTCTTGGGTTTTTTGGGATGTTTTTTTTTGCTTGGTTGGTTGGTTGTGGTTTTTGTTAAAAGGGTACCCATAAGAGAGGAATGTTCCAATAATGAGCATGGGCTCAGCATGGTTTGATTTGCGCTACTCATCAAGGGGAGGCAGAGCCAACTTTATCCTGTATACAACAAACAACCATTGTCAGACCTCAGATAACATATCTGAATTGAAGTTTATTGTTGGGAATAATTTTCTGAGGAAGAAAGTGATTTTCTTTCTGTGAACATACTTTGTGTCTTCATGCTTTAAAAGGCTAATAGGCAAACTGGACTTGTTTTGCACCAATGATGTCCACATTGTCTAGTTTGTTCATCCTTGACTGAGATCCTGATGCTGTTTCTAAGAGGTAGCATGGGTGTTTTGAATTATGCAACATAAACAGAAGAATATGAACACAATCATCTGTGTGGCCAGAGGTCAAGAAATGGCATCTGAAAATTTGTGCCTTTTGCATCAGTGGTATAATTTTGCCCTTCTGTAAGTAGAGTATATGATATATAAGATAAATGTTAATCCTCATAATTTCAGATTTACAATGATGATAAAACCCTTTAAACTGGACCCAGGAGTAGTTTATCACATTTAACAATGCCTATAAACTGTGACTCTTGCTTCATAAGGTGTTTATTGTAAAATGAGGAGAGGTTATTATAAATACAATATGTAGCTGTATAATTAATGATTTTAATAAAATTCGTTTGTAGAAAAGGAAGGAACTAAAACTGCAATTGTAATAGTTCTTCTGTTGAGCTTTTAGGTGTTTAGTTAGTGTTTTTCTTTTTAAGTATTTCTTTAAGTTTTCTAATATGGAGATGGAAATAATAATAAAAAAGAAATCACTGAAAAAACCTTGTCACATGTTTCCACCATTATGCGTTGATATTGTAGAGGGAAGGAGACCTGGATTTTATTGACATAAAAGTAAAATTCTTTGACAATATGAAAAGACCATTGGCATTACAGTGATTGTTTTCTAAGAGTTTTCTCAGTCTGTCACAGTAGGGATTGCTGCTTTTGAAATAAAATGGTTGCAAGTCCAGATGTTTGGTGACTGTTTTGGCTGTCTACTGGCCTTTGATTCAGGAGAATGAATGACAGAAGTGAAGGGATATTTAGGAGTAGATATATATATATATATACACACACACACACACATATGTATATGTGTGTATATATATATATACATGTATATATGTATGTATATGTGTGTGTGTGTGTGTATATATATATATCACACACACATATCCCTCTAGCCAGTGAGCGAGGGGGTCTTTTTTTATCACAGGTTCCAAAGGGCACACAAGCAAAGCAACTGTGATGCTACAGCTTCTTCTGTTTGCTTTTATATCAGTGGGAGATCTTAGGTAACCTAAAGAGAGTTACTGTCAATATTCATATAGTGGATCTAGCTTCTTTTAAGCCTAGTCTCATATTGAGAATAAAATAAGAACTCAAAATATGCAAATGTTATATCAGTATTAGAGGAAAGGGAAAAAAAATGCCCAGGGACTGACTGACAAATTTATTTAGTAATGAAGCAGAAAGATTTTGATTTTCAGTATGGGAGCTCTGTGAAGAATATGTTAACAAATCTGACAAGTTGTCACAGAGAGTGCTCACTTTTTTGGAGGACACCAATAGACACTGTACACACATGTGGTACTATTTCTTGAGTGTAGGTACCAGGACACGAAGACTCAACTGCAAGGAAAGAGACAACAAGATTATTGCACACGTGGCAACCACTGACAGCAGTTTTCTGCACCTGAATTTAGGGCTGCACTGAAACTACTGGTGCAAATGAGTTAAAAGATTTAGTAAATTAAGAATTAGGTACTACAGTGACTTGGCTTAATGATATGATTACATGGAAACACTCCAGCTAACAGTTTGCTCTAAGCTTTCCAAGATGTTCAAATACATTAAAATACCTATTTAGTTTGAATATAATGATATACTTGCTCTAATTCTAAAAGGCCATGTCTAATTAAAATCATTATTCCAATATAATTTTAAGAGGCTATTAAAGACATGTTTACAGATACTTAATTCTTTCCTTATTTTTTTATTGTTTTTTAAATTTGAAATGTCCAAGATTTTTCATTGAAGTACTTGGTAACAAATAGAATGTTTGAAATAAAAACTATGTAAAATTCTAGTTAAACTTAATTGTTGTTCCTTGAAAGATACTTCATAGGAAAATAAGAAGCATCATCTTGAATCCTTATGTAAGACTTGAAAGTCAGAACTTCTGTCCTGACTTGATAAGCACTTGTAACCTAAAAATCTCCCTGATTAATTGATCTGATTTTAAATAGTGCCTTTTCTAGCAAGCTTACAGAATGTGTTCCTGATCAGACACTTCATTTTGAAACATTTAATTCAGAATCCTGATCAAATCAGGCTCTGTTATACTTCACATGTTTTTACTGGCATACTTCACATTCTGTTATAGAAAATTATCATTATTAATTGGGATGCAAATCTATATTTGACAGTGATACGTGACTTACTATGTAACAAAATCACTCACATTGTAAGCAAGGAGTTGTCATCTACCTCTGATAAGCTCCTACTTATTACACTCTTGATAATTGTGACCTTTAATGCTTGCTCTCATTTCTAAAAACATCATTTAGTGAAGATTAAATCATGACTGTTTTGCCTGCATTCTGGTAACCCTGGGTTTTGGGGGTTTTTTTGTTGCTAGTCGACAGGATAGTGATACAGGATTGGTAGATCCTGTTAAACCCAGCTAAATCTCCAAAACAGAGTCCATCTCCTAACTTACAATATTTTCATCAACTTTTGTTTTGAACTCTATTCTTTTTCCAGGCTACTTTGACACAAAATGTGGAAATTGTGATGGCAATCTAACACAATGTATGTGTTCTTTCAGGGTGGTAGGCATTCATTTCTTCACATTCTGGTTTACTGTAGGGTCTCCTGGAAATGGTACACGTCACTTGCAAACTGTTACTGTATTAATAGAAGTATTTTTTCTTGTAATTTATACCTGGGGAATAGAAAATAAATAAGTAAAAATGTAAGAATTACAACTTGTTCTTACTTTGGTTCTGAAATATGGATAGTGTTACCTAAACCAAGCGTTGTCAGGCTGTAAAGGAACTGGAGGATAACAAAGCTGGTTAGTCAAAACAAAGTGATGACTTTACTTCCTGCATTAATTAAGTGCAGCTCCTTAATGAAGTGGTACCTTTGGCACATCTGTTTGGCCATCTCCCCAAGAGGTGATGCTAATCTTTTATGTGAAACCAGTCACACCTACTGTGTGATTACAGTGAAACATAGCTCTTCATGTATACTCCTGGTGAGCAATAGATGTGCTGGGTGTGCTTCATCTCTTTGGTTTCTATTTGATTTATATTTGTTCATCTTGTATCTGTTACCCTGTTCTCTTTGTGCAGAGACAAGTTATCTTGTTCTCTATTTCTACAGTGGTTAGTACAATAAGAGGCTGCTTGTGATGAGCTACAAGACTTTCAGATAAAGAACAAAAAGTAATTGAAAGACTTAGGAGAACAACGTGTTCTCCCTCCCTATGTACCCAGCCCTTTGCAAATCGCATTTTGCAAGGCAGAATCTGGCTTGTCTCATTCAAATTAACATCCCAGTTCCTTTCTGTTGCATTATAGAACTGTGGGCACCCATGTCAAACAGCTGGAAAAATTTATTGTTTCTGCTGCACTGTGTATTGGAACGTGGTAGATAGCAACAGTGAGATGTGTGAAATGATGTCATATCTTCTCTTTATTTTGGAATTGTGCTAGGGAGGTTTCAAATTGAACTGTAGTTTCTTTTTATTTGCTTTAATAAGAAAAAGTTTTTTCGTTTTTTTTTTCAAGAAAAACTCCAAGCTTTTAATTCAATGGAAATAAAGATTCCAGAGTTTCAGTGGGTTGTAGACCTAAATTTGTACTAATGTCCTGGATGGAATTACCCTTTTTTTTCTCTAACAACAGCTTTTTCTTGTGCACAATATTCAAGAAAGACATTGCTATTCAGTAATAAATATGCACTCCTGAAGTGTGGTGGGCTGGGTTTCTGTGTGTATGTTTACAGTCAGCATAGGAGAAGTTGGTTTTGGTGTTCATTTAATTTCTTTTTAGTGTAAGCATGTTATGTCCAGCACTTGAAGATCTGCCTAGCGAATACTTATGTTTTTGAACAGTTTTGAAAGATGTCTGCACTGCAGAGAAATCTTTACCCTTGACTGTCAATTATGGGATAATATCAGTGAGGAGTGCAGAAAGAATTACCAGACTATTGAAAATTCATTTTATCAAGGTTTATTATTTTTCCTGAAAAGGAGAAGAAATACATTTAAAATTCCTACATCAAAAAGCATATTGAGTGGGCAAAATGCTGTCAGGTAGCTAACCTTCTAAAGATTTTGATTACTTGTAGTTTTAAACTATGAAATTTAGCAAAAAGACCCTATGAATTCGATCATCGAGATCTAGTGATGAGGTCTTGGCCCTATTACTCAGTTGTTACAGTGATTTACTGAAAATGATATTGAGTTATGCAGTTGACACCAGCTACAGATTAGAGGGATTTCCTTTCCTTTTTTTACCTCAGCATATCCAATCTAAATTGCTTTCAGTTGCTAGAGTGTTTTGGAAGGTTTCTTTGTGCAGTTCTGTTTCTGTGAAAGCAGGTTTTAATGCAAAGTCATAGCCTTTTAGAATTCTATGAGAGGATATTGTGCCATGATGCATCTATCCTGTCTTCTTATCTGTGTCTTTGCTGGTGACTTGAAGGTGTTACCCATATATAAAATAAAACCAGTATGATCAAATATTTAAAGGGTCCCTTAATATTTCAGTAACTCTCAGTAATAAAACTGTTTTGTTTTTTTTTCTCTCCCTCTCAGAACAAAAGCCTCAAAAACAAGCTCCTGTCAGGAAACAAGCTTTGTGGTATTCATGCAGAAGAGGTAAGTAAGGTTCCTCTCTATTCTAAATCTAACATACCCAGAAGAAGCTTGTATCAACATCTTTTGTACTGAGGTTCTCATATAGATTATGTATTATACGTATATGGTGAGCATTCCTAAAGTGCTTTCATCTCAACTCATTTCTGTGACTTCACTAGGAGCAACTCAAATTAGAAAGCAAGCTGCAAACTCAAGTTTTATACAAATGAAATAAAATTTGGGCATGCTTATGAAAGGAATATATAGCTCTGTAGATGTATGGTATACATCTGTAACATATATAAAAGTGTTTTCCATGATCTCCATACCTAGACGAAGAGGGGAATAGCTAAATACCTTGTTGAAATTAACTTATAGAGACAGGAAAGATTTATTATTATTGATTCCTAGAATGTTTCATTACTTCAAGGAAAAAAGGGTCACTTTATGAAACAGAGGGAAAGAAATCACCCCTCTACTGAAGAGCCAGCTAACATAAGATCGTTAATGATACAAAAGCCCCATTGCTTTGCAGATGCATAAATGTACAAGTACCTGAATTCATGCGAGCAGTCCCTTTAGCTATTAGCTTTTCATGAAAGAAGGTGTTACTACATATGAATCTGGTTTACTCATTTACATGACTTTAGTCAAGCTTTTTTGCATATATGAGTTCTGTGAAATAATTGTATCTGGTCAGAACGAAACAGAAGCATGAAATTTTCTTCTTGACTAAAATTTTCATAGTTATGGTTGAACACATTTTCTTCATTAAAGACTCTACTTTTTAACTTAGAGGTCAAAGCTTACAAGGTCAAAGTAGTGATTTCTAGTTATATTAGCTATTTAGCCTAACTGAAGGTCTGCAACCACTGTTTCTGAGAAAACCTCAATGGGAGGAAATAACAGGATTTGGGGTTTTGGTCTGTTTTGGTTTTTTTTTTTTTTTTTTTTTTTTTTTCCTTTCTAGTTTCTCAAAATCTGTTATCTTCCTATATCACCATGGTTGCTTTCAAACATGCCACAGTATATGAATACAAATATATTTTCTCCCCTTGCTCACTGCTTAAAAAATTGGCAGTGTGTGCAACGTAACTTTCTGTTTTCCCCCTCTTTTTCAAGTTTGTTTTTCCTAGCTGCATAATATCTTGAATGTTTTGTAATTAACTACAAGATCTTTTCCCTGATTATGTCTCCTTTAATATTTGCAACATAAATGTCTTTAAATCTAAGGGTGAAGCCTAAGATTAAATTAAATTAAGCGTAGTATGACAAGCCTTGCTGTCAGAGAATTTCAGGAAACTAACGTAAGCTAGCTAACTCTCAAGACAGCAGATTGTGAGTATATTTTAAACCTTAAAATCTCAGACTTTATGAATCATCCTGGCAAATTTATGACTTTTCAGTGGGTTAGTGCCATTACAACAAGCAAAGATGCTACAGGAGCATCCTTTTTTTGTTGTCGTTTTGCCAGTGAGGTGGTGTCAGCCAGAGGAACGAGGTGTATTTTCTGCTCTTTAGTTAAGTATAAGGCTCACCAAGCATAACTGTGTGAAATCAGTATTCTGTTAAATATTAGATCAAATACTGTCCATGGATAGAATTGCCTACCGGGAAGGTCCTGCTTCATTCTGCTCTCTCAGACTACATGTAAACAGTTGTAGTGAGCCTTGTAGAGCCCTTGTTGTCCAGTAGCATAGGTGAGAGCCTGCTTGTGATCCCGTACAGTCCCTATAGCTGGGTTTTCTTCTCCAGGAATTCAGAGCCCTGGAGAGAGGAAGGCAGGGTGGGGCAAACCTCAAGCTTCCTAAAACAGAGAAAGGGGCCTGTGCCAGGGAAATATTCCCAGGTGCTGTGGTTTAGAGGTGGATATCAGTCTGTGTCTAACGATAATCTGACCCAGCTGACTGCACTGTCAGTGTTAAATCCTCTCCCTGGAAGTGCAGAAAAACCACAAATGAAACAGATTTTATCACAAGGAATTACAGGTCATATACGTGCTTTTGAGTCACTTATGTTAACGCACTGAATACATTTAGCTCCGTAACTCTTAATTTCATCACAGGTTTGCGATTTGACAAATGAGTGATACTGTAATTGTAACCCTTTGCTCTTGAGTTGATGTGGAATATATTCCATAGCTCTACTAATTGTTGTAGCGCTCAGGGATATGGTTTAGTGGGCATGGTGGTGATGAGTTGATGGTTGGACTGGATGATCTTAGAGGTCTTTTTCAACCTTAATCATTCTGTGATTGCATTGTCCAGATCAGAGGACAGTGCTATTGGCACTTTCTGCTGTGTAGATGAAGCAACAGCAGATGTAATTACAGAAAAAAAAAAAGAAAAAAAAGTGAATTGAACGGATCGTGGTTATTTGATTCAGATTTTATGAAATACAATAACCCAATTTGATCTTACTTCTTAAATATTTAAAGCAAGTTCTAAAATTTTATTTTCAGATTCATTCATCCTTCCCAACAGTCTGTCACTGATTTTGACAGCACCAATTGGAAAGACATCAACTCTTTCTAAAAGCTCTAATTTATGACAGATATACTACCATCTGTACTATGTTTATGGATGTGCTGTTTCAGGAAATGTGGAATAGACTTCTAATCCATTCCAAGGAGTTCTAAAAATTTGACATTAATTAACGCAAGAAAACTTATTGAATATCAGTTCTTACTGTGTATTTTATTATAAAGAAATTATTTGACAGGATTCTTAAATAAAGGATGAAATAATGCTCCCTGGGTAGTTAAGTGTAATATAAAAAAAGTTCTATTGTATTTTGTTTAATAAATAAAAGAATGTATAGACCATTACTTGGGAGTTATTTTAAAGCTAAAATAAACAATATTTAAAATAAATATCAGCCTAAGCTGATATAAATTAGCATAACTTTGCCTACGTTAGAGGACTTTGTCACAAACAGAGAACCTAGTTCATTTGGATGCTGTTTGGAGCTCCGTGGTCATTACAAAGAAGAACTTGTGCAACACTACGGAAACTTTTCCCTTTGAGAAGAAGATTCTTTACTTTGAAGGTGATGCTTTTAGTTATGCTTCATGGAAAGTGTTAAATAACATTTCATATCTAAAATGTGTATTATTATCCTTACTTTCAGTCAAAAAAGATTCAAGCCCAGCTGAAAGAGCTTCGTTATGGGAAAAAAGATTTGATTTTTAAGGTGAGTTTTATTTCACTATAATTAGCTAAAGTATTTGAGTTAATATAGTATTGAAGTAATGTAGGAGTATGATAGCTGCCTTTATTACTGTAGTTCTAAGGAATTATTTCCTTCTCACCATACCAAAAAGAGCTGAAAACACCAAAGGCAGACATAATATCATAATGCAATTTCAGAAATATCATCTATTTTGTTTGCTTTTTTTTTTTTTTTTGCAAACTACTCTAACAGAAACAGTGCTTTTTATTAAATTGCTTTCTGGGGCAAGGAAGATTCAAAGCATAAAAATTTGTCTGGTGTGTTTGTTTTTAAATAGATGAAAGCAATGGAAAGTATTTTGTTTATGAATATCTGTATTTACACACTCACATAAAACAATATTCTAGTTTCCTGCTGGTGGCCAAAACCTGTTCCATATATTCTGTAGCATATTTTGCATCTTTCTAACTGAACAGGAGAATATTTTGCAGATGGTTCTTGGTTTTTCTTTAATTAGCAGTTCTCCATGGCAGTGTTAATTACTGTTAACACTTAAAGCAAATCTTTTTGTTTGTTATAAGCTTGAACAATGGAATGTTTCTTAGGTCCCTGCATCCAAAGTCCTGTTAGAGGCTGAAACATCTTTACCAAAAATAAAATAATGTCTGTGGCTTATACAATCCGAATGAATAGCCTGTCTAGCTAGTGCATATATAAAAAAAAAAAAAAAAGACAGGGGAGAAGGACAAAACCTACTGACATTTTGCTGAAGGGCATCAAGTCCTTGTTAACAGAGAGAGAAGTTAATCCCTGTTAAAGGAGGAGGAGGGAGATTCAGGTCACCTGACTGGAGGCTACTAATGGAGTAGTGCTTTTATTCCCAGCAGAAGGAAGAAGATAAGTAGTCATCTTCAAAGTGACTAGAGCTAGAATTACTTACAAAGTAATTCGTCTCAATATGACGTTCAAATTGCCTTTTGGAAGTATTTAACTTTCTATCTACTGTCTTTATATTGTATGCATAGTGCTATAAAGATGGAGTAACATAGGCCATTTAAAATAGGCAGTGTGGTTTGTGTGCTTTTTTCTTTATTTTTTTCTTGATTTTTCTTTTTTCCTTGTTTCTTTTTTGTTTTTCCTCCTTCACAGGTTGGTAGGTTGATTCCAAGGTTTTTTAGGAACATTTATTTCTGGTCATCACAAGACCCAAACCAGGGAAATAGATTTAGAGATAAAATCTAGGCATATTATACATCTAGGCAGTTAAATTTTAATACCAGCTAGCATTAACAAAAATAACACATTTTTTGTTGAAATTCAGTATAACTATAATTGGGTGTTTGAACAGAGGAAAAGATTATAGCTTCTCAACTTGCCTGGGTGTGAAAACTTGTTTTCTTTGGGTGAGGCAGAAGGATTGTTCAGTACTATCTATTTATTGTTTTCATTATGCTAGTATGTAGTGATCCCAAAAATGGATTTGAATTATGCTAGAATGTGTAGTAATGTTTAGCAAGGGAAAACTCCTACTCTAAGCTGCTGTCATGGTTTAACCCAGCCAGCATCCAAACACCATGCAGCTGCTCGCTCACCTTCCCTTGCCCCAGGGGATGGGGAAGAGAATTAAAGGGGTAAAGGTAAGGAGACTTGTAGGATGAGATAAAAACAATTTAATAATTGAAATAAAAACCAAAATAATGATAGTAATAATGGAATACGCAAATGAGCAATGCACAGTGCACTTGCTCACCAACTGCCAACCAGTGCCCAGCCCATTCCCAGCCAGTGTTCCTAGAGGAGAGAAAATCCCAAAACCCCAAGTGAGAGAGCTTTGTGGGCAACCCTCATCTATATACTGAGGTGGTATTTCAATTCTAGTTGCTTTGAGACACTAGAAACTAAACAGATTTAATGTTATCATTGCTGTTGAGGCTGGTTTTTTGAAGCTCTGATTCTTTCTGATAAAAGGACAAAACAGTGGATGGATTGTCTTCTGTCATTGAATGGTGTGGGTGATAATCTCCTGGCTGTGTGTCACTGTCAAGTTACAGGACTTCTACCCCTTCCCCCTTCCACTGTGTTCCCACTGAATTAAACCTTAATTTTCTATATACTTTGCTGAGGACTTTAGGGAATTCTGTTTTCTGTATAGCTCTGAAAGTTGCAAACTTATCATAGCAGTTCACTAGAGGGATGTAAACTTCATGTTAAATTTCTAAAGGAGATGATGGAATGCTTCTGTCCATACCCATTAAACTATTGCTTTCTGTGGTGGAATTAACTGTGAAGATATATTTATGAACCAAGTAGGGGGTTTTTTCTTGGCTTTTTGTTTTCTGTAATCAACATCGAGAAACTAGTTGTTAAATTCTGGTAACTTATTGACAATGACTCTGTACTGACTAGAGCTGTGGGAATTAAGTGAGAGGGGAAGGTGAATGGGGAAAAAAAGACAGCTTTCTCCTTTAATACTCCAGTGAATTGGTAAATTATATCTACTTTCAACAATATGTGACAGTAACTTAATAAGTGGTAGTAAATAAAACATGAGTTCATCATATTTGGCATGTGTTTACTTGTATGTTTTCGAAGTGGTTTTCTAATCTAGCTAATTAATTGTGTGGCATGTGTGTATGTATACCTATTTTTTTTCTCTCTCTCTGTATGTGATACAATGCCATACAAGACATAAGCAATGAGTCGAAGTTAAGTGATGTTCTCAAGTCTACAGAGGTTGTCAGTATCTTTCCTGAGATTAAAATTTGGGCTCATGTGTCTTCACCAGAGTTCAGTCCCTTAAGCCATGCAGTGTAGTATCCTTAAAGAGTTGACAAAAGTTGCAATATGCTTTGTATTACAATGAGAAAAGTAAGGAATTATTAATAAAAGATTTCACTCAAGCTTCTTAATTTTGTAGCTGCCTTTGTAAGTAGGTACTTACTAGTTCTGAATGAGTCCACTCTTAATTACAATAATTTAATTATGGTCCTAAAACCCTAATGCAGTGAAGTACTCTTAAGTTTAAAAGCTTTGCTAAATAGTTGTTGTGGTTGTTTCAGGCATTCATGGCTCAATACCTCTAAGAACTAAGCAGTACTATATCAACATCTCAAATTTAGTCTTGCCTTATGACTGCTTACGCAGATTTATATAACAAAGAGAAGGCAGGTTTAAAAATAATGTAGTTTTTTTTACTTTCAAGGACTTGTTTCCAGGAAGTATTTCTGCCTGGGAAACATCTGAATGCCTTTATATATAAGGGGCAAAGGACATGTACTTAAAGGTCTGATATTTATAATCCAAACCATTTTCCAAATTCTTCGAAAAATATAGTGCTACATCAATCAATTCATTATTTGGATGTGTGAAAATAGTTTTAAACCATGCATTTGATATGGTAAATAGAGTCAAAGGAAAGCAAAATAATGTGAAATTGTTTTCACATCATACTGACTGGATGTGGTAAATATTTATACCATTCCTCCCTCTAAAGTAAAATTGATGCCACCATATGTGCTTTCGTCCTTATTAGCAGTAGTTAATTACATGCCACAGTAAACCTATTTCCTGGAGTTGCAAAGTGTTTATTTCTGTGATGCAGAATATGAGATTTTTGCATTCCCTACAGAGACAGAGGTGAAATGATTAAAGAAAAACAAAAAGCCACCACAAAACCTGACTTAGCAGAGGACATGTGGTAAACATTAAAATATAAATGACCTTGTTGACTGGGCTTGAAGTAATTGATTACACAATTTTAAGTCTTTGATAACCTTTTACAGAAGTGCTTTATGTGCTTGCACATGTATGGAGATGCAAAAGTTTGTGGTTTTCCACTACAATTCTGCTATTTGTGTACAGTTAGCAGTCAGGCTTGACCCAAATCCAGCCATTTCATAAATGTACATTCACTTCACCCGTGATTTACAGCCGCTTGTATTACAGTTGTTATCAACTGCAGAATTCGGCTGACCTGGCATGTTTGAAAAATGAGTCCATTTAACAAATTTTAAGGATTCTTTATTATGTTTGAAGTACCATAAAGTACTTTCTTTCCTTGCAGAAAGCTTTCTAAAAAAGCAACATTATTTTCCTTGAACTTTATTTAGACATTGATCATTTAACACAAAAAGAATGCTCTTATCTTTGTTGTTGCTTTTACATTGCACTGTAACTCTAAATATAACTTCTGTAGCTCGGTGTTAAAAGATGATAAAAGAAAACCGAGGACAGTTTCCTATGGGCCTGTCATATCAACTTCCCTGAGAGAATACCGCAACTCCTCTCACTTCCAGATGGGATCTCTAGTTTATAGTGTGTTTATTCATCCAATGTGCTTCCTCAGCATCTGGATCTTCTGCGACTTCCCTTGGGAAATTTAGCAATGCTGCTTAGGAAAACAAACAAACAAACAAAAGACAGCATAAAACATCACTTCTAAAAGTAAATGTAATGCAAAATATTAAAGATTTGTGTTTTGGTTTGGTTTTTTTTACAGAGGTTTGTAAACCAGTTATTTTATTAGGAATAAGAAGTTCTGTAAACTACAGGTTGACTTCAGCACATTGCATAACAACTGAATAGAATCTGGAAGAGGAGACTTAACTGATTATTACACATTTAATTTATAGCATTTTTAAGCATATTGTTTTGAGAGAATAACTATCAAAGACTTCAGATAGGAAAATGTTCTCTAAAAAGTTTCCCTGGGCTGTGTCAGAAATGACATGGTGAATGAGTAGAAAGTAGCAAAGTGAACCTCCTTTTAGCTATATTTTTATTTATTTTATTATGTTTTCTGTTTGATAAACTTAATCTCATTAGTCTGCTGTGGCTTGTGTGTTATTCTTTGATGATTTTTTTTAGCAAAAAAGAGGTTGTTTATTTTTTAAGAAGGCTTTTTTTAAGAAAAACCTTTGCTTTTCTTCCGAAGGATGAAGATTAAATGAAAAGTGCCTACAATATCAGCAGACTCTGATAGACGATGAAAGAAAAAAGTCTGAAAATATTCTTACAGATTT